TATATTTATTTATTTATTTATTTATATATATATATATATATATATATATATAATTATTGCATACTGTTAAATTCTCAATGTCATAAAAATCTAAAATTTGCCCAACACACAAGCAAATAAAATTGTAAGAGAATCAAATTTATTACGTGCAAAAATCTTAGAAAAAGAAAAAAATTACAAAGCCTAGCCCAATTAAAATAATCGTTTAGGAGGTTAAAACTACAGAAGTTCTCTCTTTTTATGAACTAGAGAAGGTGTGATAGATAAAATTGTCAATCATAAATGTATGGTAATAATTTGGCTTCAACAAAATAATCGGGCCACAGCAACTATAGTTAGTGGCTAACAATAGTAATAGTTGGCTATAAAAAACTGTTGGATTATAGCATTTGTAGTTGGTGGTTACAACTGTTATAGTTGGTGACTACAAAAAGCCATAGTTGATTGCAATACTTGTTGGTTTTGGTCAACGATCACTGGTGTTCTTTCACATAAACTTTGATCACGAGTAATGATTTAGTTGTCAGCTCACTCTTCTTTTTCCCACCCTTCAAGTGAGTAATTTGGGCATATTCATAGTTTTTGAGAGGGCATTTAGTTAAACTTAGTTAGAATCCTATAACACTCTATCAAATGACGCACACCTATTCCCTTGATTATAGATTATTTTTTTTTGTTTTAAGTGTTTTAATAATCTTATAATTAAATGATATTAGGTCCGTTGGATTCCTCTCATCAAACTGCTCTATTTTATTTTTAGTATGCAAATTTTGAGATGATTTGACATTCCAATGAATGCTTCAATATTTTTAAATTAACTTTAAGTGTTGTATTTGGGCTTATCCGGACTCGGAGTGGATCACTATTGGTGGCATTATGCTTGCATTATCAAGATGATTAGTTTAATTATAACTTAGTTTAAATCAGGGCATAGATGATCCTTATTGAATTTTTTCTAGGACATAAGATCTTGTATTGTTCGTGGGCTCACATAACTCAGGGGAGACCTTAGAGGGAGGCGATGAAGATGATGAACATGATATAAGGACGTTGATGAAAATGCTTATGGGTTCTGACCAAGGTTATGGTGAAGAAACACAAGATGCGGGACAAAGATCTCGTTGAAGTTAGGAGGGCATATATAGTTATATAACTTATAGATGATTGTTTACCTTTATGGGACTACATAGAGAGAGATAAGAATATTAAATCATAAGCTATAGACTACAAAGCTTATCCAAATGAAAAGAAGATGATATAAATGTTAGGCGTCTCATAAATAGTCATTTGGACGGCAAGATCATCCTGAGGAGCAGTTTGAGAGAGATCAGTTGTTCGCTTCGGCAAGTGAGATCACAAATCACTTCAACAATCATGTGATGTTAGTGTTTTTTAAGAAGGGCTTCTCAAGCTCACACGAACTGTTAGTGCTTGCATTGGCCTGAAGTGGGCCAAAAGGGGCCATAAGCACATGCATTGCTCCACAACAGACCATTTTTGGTATATTTTCTTGAATTTGAATTTCATTTTTGGTATGCAATCTTGAATTTGAATGTGGAACCTCTTTTATCTAAATTGCAGTGAGATTGTCGCCTAATCTTATAAATTTCTTGGTGACATATCAGTAATATTTTTCTTTAAAGCTTAAATTATCTCAAAATTTCCATGATTTAAAGTACTTTTTTTCCTATTGTGGTTTTTTTTTTGAAACCCCGGAAGAAATTTTATTAATTTGAAACAATAACTATAGAGTTTGTTAGGAGGTTCTCCACTATACAAAAAATACAACACTTGCAAAAGAAAATCTAGGGGATCCTCCCTCAAGGATACAACTCACGCAAAGGAACTTCAAAAAGAAGCACACAAAAAAAGAAACCGCAACAAGTTGTCAAAAACCGCACAAAAATTAATAAGAACCCACAAAAGCCAAGACCAAGCAAAAGCAAACAACAAAAGGAGATACCTCGATGTACTAGGAGCCAAAACGGGGGACCTAAAAGAAGAAAATTAAACAGAATTAACAAGGAAAGAAGAAAATATATAAAGGAAGACCAAACATGGAACAACCTGAAGAGCCGAAGCAGTAACAATGGCAAATAGAGAGGGGAAATCATTAGAAATCCCAGGACAGTGTTTTGCAACAAAGGCGCAAAAAAAGTCCCAATGATATCAAATGAAGACCAACATACAGAAGAGGAGCACCTAGAAAAGCTAAAAGATCAAGATACAACCACTACCATTGAAGGAGCAAAAACGCAACGACAACCAACATCACGAAATAAAACAAGAAATATGCACCTGAAGCACCCAGGAAAACACGCCTCAACCAGAAAAAAAAAAGGAGGAAAACAGCCTGCCCAAAGCTCCCAAACATAAATAAAATTAATAAGATCTTAGATGTGGTAGACCAATGTCATCTAAAAACATCATGCCTTTGAGATGTTCATCCAGCTTAGCATAGAAAAGGTCTGGCGATTTTGGAGACGAGACCCCAAATTAGTCAAAAAAATCAGCGCAAGAATTACCTTCTCTGAAAATTTACGACATTCTCCATTTAATAGAATGAAGCAGATTCTGAATCTCACGCAATAGATATAAAATGTAATAGTTGGCAATATCATTCATATTAAAAAAATTAACACACAATTGCACAACCAGTTTAGCATCAAAATAAATAAAAAAAAAACATTGCAATAATTAAGAGAAATAGCTACTATCAAGCTCTCTTTCAATGCAAATAATGCTGATTGACAGAGGAACGATTAAATGGCCAAGCAAAAGCTATCAGAAAGTTACTCTAATGATCCCTCAAAAGACCACCAAAGCTCCCAGTCATGTGAGACACTGAACCATTTGTATTGGAATTCACCCGACCAATCCTAGGAGCAAAACCAATTCATCTTCATGAAGTAAGGGTCAGGAGGTTTCAGACCTTGAAGTCCAAAGACAAATCGAGATTAAGTTGGCTTTAATCAAGAAATGAATTCTATGAGAAATATTGAAAATGA